AAACACAGACAAAAGACAGATTATTAGGTATGAAAGCTCTAACTACATGATTCACAGACAAACACCAACTAATCAATTTTTTGATTAAAAAAAGAACTATACTTCTGTTAGAACAGTTTTTATGTCTATATCGTTATTGGATGTTAATTTTTCCAGTTCTGAAAATACCTGAAACACAGACAAAAGACAGATTATTAGGTATGAAAGCTCTAACTACATGATTCACAGACAAACACCAACTAATCAATTTTTTGATTAAAAAAAGAACTATACTTCTGTTAGAACAGTTTTTATGTCTATATCGTTATTGGATGTTAATTTTTCCAGTTCTGAAAATACCTGAAACACAGACAAAAGACAGATTATTAGGTATGAAAGCTCTAACTACATGATTCACAGACAAACACCAACTAATCAATTTTTTGATTAAAAAAAGAACTATACTTCTGTTAGAACAGTTTTTATGTCTTTATCGTTATTGGATGTTAATTTTTTCAGTTTTGAAAGTACCTGAAAGACAGATAAAAGAAAAATTATTAGATACAACTGCATGATTCACAGACGAACACCATCTACTCAATTTATAACCATACTTCATTTAGATCAACTTTTATTTCTGTCATTGATGTCTCTAATTTTGTTAAATCTTCACGATATTGTTTTCGATTTATTGGTGAATCATCAGTACCTCCAGCCTTTTCATCATGTTTTTTGCTATCAACTTTTGTTTCTTGAGTACTCGATCTACACGAAAAAAAATACACTAAATTAGTTATAGATTAGTTAACCGACTTTAACAATAGCTCTCACTTATTTTTAACAACATTGTTTCTGGCTGGTTTTGTTGGTATTTCACCATGAGCATATTCATAACATGAGCCACCTTCGAATTCATACCAAACTTTTTCTAGACTGAGATTACAAGGAATCATTTCTAGAACAGAAAATACATTATAGAAAAGAATCGAAAAGAGTATATAGAAAATATTAACTGAACACTCGTATTTCAGGATTTGAGTACATATATCTTGCACGTTGTATTCGGTGAAATAACATTTTACATAAATACCAAATATCAAACAAAAGACTAACTGGTGGAATAAATGGTGGTCGATCGTAGTGTTCACGTATGAATAAATAACGTTGATAATACCAGATATTAGTTATGTCATCATGGACTTGGTCAAATCGTTTGCTAAAATGATCGAAAAGTTGAAAACCAACCAGGTAATTTCGGAACTTAATCACATACTTGAACAATGCAATTAATAAATTGATAAGTAATATGTTTATTAATAACAAATGTACTGCTAACAGGATATGTGTTGCAATTGCCCATGAAGCATCAGGAGAAGCTAAATAACTAAGAAAATTCAAAAAAAGTTTCAAAAAAAGACAACGCTAAATTTTACTATCCAATGCTGTTGTTTCGTTATTCCAGTTCGTGTACATAAGATAATAAACCGGATACGCTATATCTTTGAATATGTGTCTTGCATAAAACCCGTGAACACGCATTATATCGTAATAGGCCATTGAACGACTAGCAACACCGTAAGCTGCCATGACCAACAATATTAATATCATAAAAAACATCAAATCTTGTAGCTACAAATATTCGTCGGTAAATGACCTTCGCCCAAATGCACGGTACGCTTACCATTTTTCCAATAGCGACTAAATGTGGTCCCACAAACCGTAGAGCACTAAGAAATGATAACGACCGAAGATACCAAAACCATAAACAATACGCCATTACTATTCTAGAATGATAAAATTTCTTCGAGAGGCTTTCTATAACGACTATAAGAGAGAGTTGGCATCCAGAAACACCAAAATATGTATCCCGATCGGGATATTATAGCAGCATTTTACAGAATTCAGAACTAATTTTTTCGCCTCAAATGGGATTATGGACAGAAGAAGTCTTAATGAAAACTTCTCAGTATATGCATTCTGAAGCAGAGTTGTAACCGGCTGAAAAAATTAGAATCGAATTAGATCGGTCGATAACGGCCGATCAGAAATTAGCATCAGACTGGTAAAAAATCGGTACTTTTTCGAAGTTTTTCGAAAAGTAGTAAGTGCAAAAGTATATACTTCAAAAAATTTCAGAGGCGTCCGCAGCGATATGAGAGTGAGTTTTCGACGAAACGAGAATTAATCGTCAAAAGAGAAAATAATAACGAAAGTTTGTTAGAAAAACATTCTGGCTTCAGGTACAAAGTTAACGTTTCGTACTGAACAGTGTCAACTAGAAATTTTTTCTATGTTTTTCCCCTATTTTTTTGGCGAAAAAACATACGAAAAAAAACTTTTTTTCAGAAAATAAATCGGTAAAAAGATCGGTGAATGTCGGCCGATTGAAAAATTTAATCGAATCGAATCGATTACATGTCAATCGGTCGATTCGGTTACAACTCTGCCCTGCAGAGCTTGATGCTTTATACAAGTAAACATGTCGAAAAAACGCTTTGCCGCATTGTTAATTTTGTGAAACAGACGGTGCTATCGTCAGTAACGTGTGTAAACCCGTAATTTGGAATCTCAAATTCTCGCCTAAAGTGATATTTACCTTGCCGCATCAAAATTTTCTGGTGATTGTACATTTCGAAATCTTAATATCAAACCAACATAAAACAGAACGTATGACAAAACAGTAAGTTGTTTAAACAAATGGGGAAAATATGTGCCACATTTTCCCCATAGTGTTAAATTATCTTGATTCAAAAACTATAATTACAGACTTGAAGAGTTTTAATTAACTTTTACGTTTTATACTTACATAACGAAATTCTTCAAGCAGCATACAGCTAACGAGCATTATAAGCAAGATTTCTGTCCAATCGATCGAAGGTAGTCCATCTGTAGGCGGATCAAATGTAAATAACATCACGTAACTGAATAATAATAGTAAAAGTATAAATTGCACCTAGACCGAAAAAAGGCAAATGAGTTTGTCTGCAGATGTCGAATCAAAAAAGATATTTACACAGTGATAGGAAAATTTAACTATCGATGCCTGATGGAAATGTTTAAGACGTAATAAATATTTGTTAACATGTAAATCACCTTGAAATATTTTTGGATTTTCCATTGCATATGGGTCAGAGTAATTAATACCATAAAGTTTAAGACTACAGGAGAGTGAAATAAAAAGGCAAATGACAACAGAATGTGCTTATAAGTTGATCTTACGTTTCTGCTTGGATACTATCCTAAAAATTCAACAAGACAATTAACGGAGCTGTGCGTATGCGGGCAGAGAGAAGTAATTTATACATACATCTGACCTAGGCCGAAATCGCACCATGAACGGTGCTGTCAGACCAAGTGTTAAAAACCCTAACACTAATGTTAATTGATACCGTTTTTTTGTTTGATCTGGATGTATTTTATCAAACCAAATGTTTGTCATAGCTTGTACACAACCTGGCGAACCAACAAAGCTTTTACAGCCAGCATCTACAGCAACCTTAATAAAAGAAAGACGACTTTCCTTTGTGTTTTTTGCAGATACAGGATAGAGTAAAAGGGATTAACCGACGTTTGAGCGCCGACACTTGAGCGCCCCGACATTTGAGCGACCCGACATTTGAGCGACCGACATCTGAGCGACCGACATTTGAGCGACCGACACTTGAGCGACCCC